ACTCTACCACTGAGCCACACCCCCAGCCCATACTCATGGTCTTGATTAATTTTTTTAAATAAGATTCTTCCAAAAATTCTTAATTTACATGAAAACAACTGTGATTTCCCTTTTCTTTTTCTTTCTTTCTTTTTTTTTTTTTTTAATTTTGGGACAGCATCTTGCTAAGTGGCCAAGGCTAGCCTTGAACTTGAAATCTTCTTGTCTCAGCCTTCTGCATTGCTGGGATTATATGTGCGAAATACTGTGTCCAGCTGAATCTGAAATTTCTATCAGTACCCACAGCTTCACATGTTGCTGAAATTCAGATGATTTGGGCCTACATTTATAATTAAAGAAAGACCAAATTTCAGTTAGAAGTTAATAAAGAAGTAATTTTTCTCCCACCCAGAGTTGACAGATCCTCTGACAGAGGCTCCCCAGATTCTGTTGAGATCCCTACTTTAAACACAGAATTGAAAGGGACACTAACAATCACCTGAATGAACACTTTTGCTCCAGGTGAGAAATCTGAAGCCTAGAGAGGTCACAAGACTGCATCTCCCAAAGTATCCAGAATATTCTAATCCACGAATAGGCACACACTAATCTTCCCAACTGAAATGAGTGATTTGTCAGTCACACAGCTGAGGGGTGACAAAGCTGACTTGAGCTCCTTAGAAGGCACCCCCTCCATCCCACTAAGGCAGTACATACTCTTCTCTATGTCTCACTGTGTGCTTCCCTCAAAAGTTCTAAAAACACCTGGTCTGGGTCTCCTTGTCACCTCCAAAAAATCTCCTCCCATGTCTTCTAGCAACACAAGTCTCTGGTGGCACATCCCATGCTCATTTCCCGTTTTCCTGTCATAAGTAAACACCGTATCTTGACATTTATAATAGATACCCATTCAGAAACCAACTACTGGTCAGACAAATGTCCCCAGCTATAATCAGGTGCTTAGCTTAAGGCAATCAGCTCTCAAAGACCATTTTCCTTGGGCATTTCATGGTCTCCTGCGTGATAACCACTATGACTGTAATTTCTATTCAGAAATTACCAAGTCTTCTCTGTTGATTTTTTAAGTCGTCCTCATTACCCTGATGTCTCTCGGGCTCGTCCTATGCCAGGCTCTGCTCTCCCACATCACCCCAAATGCGACTGCTTTTGTTTCTTCACAAGCCCAGCACCCACATCATCCCTCCTGTATCCACACCACTCGACAGTCTATATGGAGCACCTACCCCCCCCACCCCCCACACACTTCCCAGCTTGTGTAGCCAGGCAATCCAGCCTTCTTCTCTGCAAATGAATGACTGCTCTAGACACTCCCCAACTTAAAGTTTTCTTCTTCGTGTCCCTAACCAGACAGCTTTTTCCATCACTGCCCCAGCACACGGCAGGCATCCTCTTCCTTCATCACCTGGGATGCTGATCTGCAGACTTGCACACAAGTCAGCTCGGATCACTCTCAGCCAGAGCTCACGCACCTTCAGACTCAGAGCACCCCCGCCCATCCCACTCAGGGCAGAGCTTTGTTCTTCCTTCCATCCAGATCTCACGGCTCTCTTCTCTCCTCCCTTCCTGCTGTGTTGAGGACTCAGTCTCCAGCCCAGCCCACAGCTCCTTCCCTGGCAGTTTCACCTAACTTTGCTCTTAGCGATCTCTAGGTGTGTTATGTTGAATATGGACACCTCCGGCCACATGCAGCTACCCGACACCTGAAACACCACTGGTCCAGACTGAGATGTATTGGGAGTCTGAAATACACACTGGATCTCGAGGACTCAGTATGAAAAGGAGATATAAAATGTCTCACTTTAATGCTTATATGTCTAATGCTGAAATTATTTTGGACATATTGGGTTAAATAAGATGCATTTTTAAACTAATTTTTCCTGTTTATCTTTTTAACATGACTAATAAAAACCTTTAAATTATATATATAGCTTCTACTAATCAGCACTATTTTGGGCTCTTCATATTTTGTTATTTCCCTTTTCAGTGCTGGGATGGAACTCAGGGCCTCAGGCATGCTAAGCAAAGCTCTCTACCCTCAAGCTACACCCCAGCCCTACTGACTCATACTTTAATCTTCCCTGTCAGTTCAAAATTCTCTCTACTTTATCATTCCACTAAAAGATTTGCTCCCATTAGCCCACTGCTTCCCATGTGCCAAACCTAGAATTCTATTCAATCAACCATTCTCAATATCTTTCCACCCCATGTTTCTATGTACCTGTTAAGAGAGCTTCCACCTCTGCAACCAAATCATAATGAAGTTCTGTTTTTTCCTTCATCAATTCTTATAGAGAGTGGTGTCTGTCTTAACTCTCAGCTAACTTTAAAAAAAAAAATAGTCCCTGTAACTCCCAAAGAAAAGAACTTCACTCATTCTCCAAATTTGCCTGTTGTCACTATAAGTTCACTTAAAGGGGCTGGTATAGTAAAATGTTAAACAAATATAAATTAATAATAATTGCAGCCCAATGTCACCATGCCCCACCAGGAGAGCAGTTACTCCTCTGTCACTTTAAAGATTGTGTTCTTTCCCCAGACTCTTCTGCTCTGGAGGTTTCAATCCCATTATTCCTAGCAGAGAACTATCTGATTTCACCCCAAATACTCCAGCATAATCCCAAACTGGAGGGTTGGTTTTCCCACCATTTCAATGTGGGCCATGTACCGTCACTCCCCAGATGGATTTTATGCCTAATATTTCTGGAACTGCATTCTCTTTTTGCAGCCATCTCAGGGGAAACCCACAACTGGGGAAGTGGGTGTGAGTGGATGTTTCTTCTGAAACCGGCTTCCTTGCTGCCCAGCCGGCACCTACCACGGCCCACGGTGTATCTTTCTAGGCGAAGGCAGGACTCTCAAAACCCTTCCCCTGCAAGGTCTCTCTGCCACCATGTTTAATAACAGAGCCCCTGGCCCACATTCCAAGAACAACACATGGATTTCTTTTTATTTCCAACATTTTCCTAGGATGATGATCTCCCCTTCATCGTTTCTATGTAAATTCTGGTTTCCCATCACTCCAGTATTGAAAACTCTTTAAGGAAAATTACTCATAGTGTTCAAACCTTGCCCACTATTTTTTTTTTTCTAAGCAAGCACTCTCCACTCCTCCCAGGACAGGACTCTTCTGCACACATGCACACACACTTTTGGTCTGATGGAATTGTTTGCTTTCCATCTAGCCCTACACAGAGACCCTCTGCTGACAGCCCTCTCATTTTATCATCTCTTTTGATGTCCAAGACTCAGCTCATTTCTTCCTCCTGTCTTCTATTCTTCCCTCCTCAATATTTCTCTTTCGTTTCCCCCTTCTGCTTATACCTGTCTATCAATACCTTGTTTGTAGCCAATATTCAATCTACGCCAAGAAAGCCCCCATTATACAAAATGGTTAAAAGAAGAACCGGGAAGACCTACGACTGGACGAGCTCCTTGTTCTTCTCAGGCTGGACATATTCCTCTGAGGTCGGCTCTACCTGGGCTCTCCCTCCGGCTCATCTCTTTCCTAGGTGTGTCTGCTCTGCCTCCAGATTCTGTTGTCTCCACAGCCATCTCTTTTATGACCTGTCCTCTGGTCTTTTCTGCCTTAGGATCATCCTATTCTAAGAATCCTGCTAATCCTTCCTTCTTCAGATCACCTGCTGGCTTCTACAGAACCCCCACCCTCTTATCTTGCAGACATTTCCTCTCATCTCCAGGTGTGTTCTGTCTTCTCCCTATGGGCCTTCTTGGGAGATGCTGCTCTGACTTCCTGGTATCCTCTTGGTCTAGCCAGGTATGAAAAAAGAAAACAACAGTTGAATCCTCAAAGCCCAAATGCCCAGAACCAAGAGGTAAGAGGAGGGGAAGACAGGCTCTGTGGCAGTCCTCGGAGTCTGGAGGAGTGATTAGCCCTTTGGATAAATTCAGGGAGACCCAAGAATTGCCTTTCTTGGCCAAGGATGCCTGTCTCCACTAGAGTCAGCCCCCGGGAATTCTGGGGTCCTCCCTACCTGCTAAGCTGGATACAGTGAATGTTTGAGCAAAAGCAGATTCATCTGTGCTAAGGAAGTTTAGCTTCACAATCCTACACCTACCTGTATGTTAACCTTATTTTTCTTAAATAGGGTCCACCAAATCATATAAGCATCAGATCTCAGAACACCTGCATCTACCTGGATAGGAGAAAGCTTTTGTGGCTCCTAGGGGTTAAGGACCCCTAGCAAGGACAAGAGGGTTCCAAGTGAACTGATTTTAAGTAGGGTTCCATTTCATATACTGTCTCTGCAGGGCATCCTCCCATGGAGGATCCAGGGCTCTTAGCAGCATTTCAGCCAGATTCTCAACTATGGGTCTTCAGGCCACACCCAACTCAGCCCAGCCTGTAGCCTCTTCTCCTCCCATCAGCTGCCAGTATCCCTCTACCTGGTTTCTCAAGACTGAATTCTAAACCTGTGGGTTCAGAATTGACCTCTAGGCTAAGCAACAGACACCGCTGAGATCCTCCCTCTGAACCTGCAGCCGCACAGTTCATGCTGGCCATTTTTACTGGAGGTCAAACAGTCCTCTCCTCGAAAGCCAGAACAGTCCTTCTTACCAAACCGACAGCTTCCGAACATGCCCTCATCCTGGGGCCCTGCTGGTGTCCCCAGGAACCCCACCCTGGTAGCTTCTCTACTCCTGGTAGAAGAGAGAAAAGAAGGAATTCTAAGAAGGCGACAGGGCGAGGCCGGAGGCTAGAATGCTGGGAGGAAAGACACTAATTTGGAAGAGAGTGCTGGAAGTCTTTGGTGAGGCTTCCAGCAGTCTGGGGACAGGCAGAGCAGTAGGATGGGGTCTGGGGACCTAGAGATCCTGTGCTTGGAACTGTATTGGAGTCGGTTCCGCAGATTCCGCGTGCGATCTGGGGGTCTGGAGCTGCAGGGCTCCAGGCAGGTCCTGGGGTTCCAAGCAGGTTCGGGTCTGGGACCTCCAGGTGAACTGGCCTCCCGCCCGGCGTCCTGGTGGGTCCCAGCACTTACCCGGCAGACTTGGGAAAGTCTCTGAGAAGTGCGCAGGCGGGGGCGGCGGGGGCTCTGCCACTTTCTCCCGGGCCGGCAGCAGCTCGTCGGCTTCCAG